CTTCACAGACCTGGAAGCTCTGTCCATTATATATACTGTCAATGCTTTTATCCTCTAGTGGAAAGTTAGAAGTTGAATATTAGTGTAAATACATAAGAATATCATCCTGTTCGACTGGTTTCTAATGTTTCTACTGTGAAAACTGAACTGGACAGACTGGCTTTGATATAGGACCTTAGTGTTTCTGTGGTGATCCAGTTTTGTTCATTTACAGACAATTTCAGGTCACTGAACTGCTTCAACTGGTTTCTGTTCTAGTTTATGCGTCACAAAACAGTGTAATGGACGTTATAATGCACATGTTCTCTATCTTTCTATCTCATTGTTGAAGAAGAAGTACTTCAAATAATCCCTCTTGGGGAAATCCATCTTTCTCTTAGCAAAGCATATACATTTAACAAGTAAGGTTGATGTAAAAAAAAAATACAATGACTACACAGAGAGTCATTGCTGAGAAGTTAAGGAAAAGAGACAAGGAACATTCTAAGTAACAATGAATTGAAAAAACAAAGAAAAAAAGTCCTGTTCTCTATCTGTCCTTTTCTCTCTCTTTGCTGCATCAAAATGCTCTGCTGTTACCACGGAAACGAAGGAGGACAAAAAAACTAATGTATGCACTTTACCTACAAACAGTACATATTTCTATTGTTTGTCCATCTGCATTAGTAAGAATTCATATGATCTATAAAGACACAAGAGGGTACTCAGTGATTCAAGCAGTTGTCTTCAAAAGCACCAAGATCTAAACAGTGGATGGTAACAATGTGGCTTCAGACTGGATAAACAGTCAATATGACAACTTCTGGCAGACAACCACAACACTGACGCAGGCACAAAGGGGGTATGACGCCATAGACAGGTCGACGGTTGAAACGCAGCGTTACCTGAATAAAATGACACATTTCTCTGAGTTTGAACGTTGTTGGAAACATTTGGGATAATGGAAGTACACAACTCAACTACATATAGAACATTTAACGTGACTAGAAAAAAAAGTAGGCCCTGGGCTACTGTAGAAACATGGCTGTTCAACATGGCGGACTCCATGGAAGGCAACCCACGGTGTCTGTAGATAAAAATGACTAAAAACAAAAACATAAAGATTCCTATATTCCAGTGATTATACACTGATGAAAACATATCTATGAATATTATATTCCATTTTTGCCAATAGATCTCCTAAATGTTACACACTGGATCTTTAACTTTTATTAAGATATTAAGTTAGTAGATGAGCGTCTGTGTTGAATTCTGCATTTGTATTTTTATACCAGTGTTTCTGTCGCATTGAATCAGTGCTGACAGATAACAAGTTCACTTGCCAAAGTTTATTACAGGATTTGGCTAAATGAAACGCTTCTCTTGGCCTCAGCTTCTTCAACCAGCATACCAACTTCTGCTGGTAAATTTCAGCTTTTTTTCCTGTGATCTTTTCCTCTGTTGCCAGCTAGTTATGAATACAAGATGCTGTATAGCAAGTAAGGTCTGTTAAACAGAACAAATGTTGTCAAGGGGCATACATTTGTGTGTTTTATGGAAATAATACCACACACTTTTCATATTCACTGCTGCTGCTGACACAAGAAACTTGACATTTTTTCTGCCATAACGTGTTGAATGGGACCACAGAGACGTGAGGAATCACAAACAACTGCATTATAAGATGTAACTGTATTAAAACATTATGGTTAGAGCATTCATTTTCATTCATCTGATGTTTGGGATCTGAACAGAAACATCAGATGCTTCTGGTTTGAGGAGTGTCAGTCTGTGGACCGATGAGTCATGGTTCAACTGATGAGGATGAGGATGAGAACTCTCATGTGGTTGAGGGCTTCAGATTTTCCAAAACTGCACCATACCAAATAAAGGAGCAGCGTCACAGATAAAGCAGATGTGAAATTCATGTTTTCACATCCTCTCAGATGTGATATACACCATATGGCACACAAACACTACGCAATATCTGATGGTTGGATATTTAATGTGCTGCTATAACAGCCTCTGCTATTCTGGTTCCAGTTTTTCCACCAGCTTGTATGCTGCAAGCATTAAAAGAGTACTGCACCCATTACCTACAGTGTAAAACAAAAAAAGAGAGAAAAAGCAAATAATTTCAAGGCAAATTTATTCACTTAGTTTAAGTCATAGTTGAACTTTTAAGTTTTTTCACTTACTGTTGTTTGAGCTGGTTCATAGCACAATCCTTTTTAAAATAATTTTTCATTATTCAGATGCTTGAAAATTAAATAGTTGCAAGTGAAAATATTAAATTATATATATATTAAATTATGAAATTCATATTTTGTGTTTGTAAAATGTAAAGATTCCAGTTCCAAGAAGAAAACTAAATTATCATTATTGTTATTAGTTTATTTATTTAGAAATTATTATTATTATTATTATTATTATTATTGGCTAATTATTACAACTTTTTTTTACAATGTATACCATTATCAGATTAACAGTGGAGTTTTAAATGATCAAAATCGAAGCAGAGGAACCAGATAAATCATATTTTTTATTCCAGACATTCTTCTTCCTTGTCGAAACCTGGCGCTTGCATTACTTCACACTCTTCCCTCTGGAGCAATAAAAGGCTTTATACAACTTGTTTTCATATATGCTGTCGTACAACAACTGGAAATCAATGGAGTTCCCCTTTTAGATTTCCCTTCATTGGAACTGGAAGTGGCCCAAACCAGTAAAAATTGTCCCACACCAAAAGTACAGACAGCATGTGGGCAGAGGTGTCCATATTCTTTTGGCCATATAGTTTATCTCCCAGCTGAAACACTAAAAAGGAAAATGTAGGGTGCATGTTTTGTCGAGGTGTTACAGTTTTGTGGAGGTTAAATGTTTGAACTGCAGTGGTCAGTTTTGGAGACACAGAAGAACCAAACTGAAGAAACAGTCAAGCAAGCTGTTTATTCTTCTCGGAGAATCTGTACAGTTATGTTTGTGTTTGCTTTTTATCCTGGGATTAGTGTGGTTTTCATAATTATTGTTTTTGTTTATTTAGGAAAACACATTAAGGGTTAGGTCTCAATCATTTTGATTTAGATGCAGAGATTATCCCCCAAAAAACTCATCCAATGGTAAGAAGATAAATCTGAGGGGTCAAAAGGTGACTAATGGATAGAAAAGAAGGAAAATATTCTGCTCTACAAAATTGTATTCATTTTTTATTACTGTCTACTCTTTTTTTCTTGTGGATAACTTTACAGTTTCAGGCCTCTGTTAGATGATTAAATTGCAGTAAAATAAAACATGCAGTTAGAAGGGACAATCACTCTTTGCTGCAGCTGCTGAAGACTAGAAAGGCAGGTCCATTTACCATATGTGCTTGATGTTTTTAATAAAGAGTTAATATTATATCAAATGATATTAAACTGGATGAAACAGCTAGACTGGCTCTGTCTAAGAGTTGCTCCTAACAAAATGTGCCTACCAGAAGCAGTGCTGTCCAAAGTGGGATCTGCGGGACACTAGGGTAAGTTTTACCACATTAAAACATTTTGGTGGCATTTACATTAAATACATTTTATGTTATCTTTATAAACATATCAAAACACATAACTTGAGAACTTCAGAAAACTCATCACTTCAAGGCAACTGTCTTCACTAAATCTGAGTTTTGGAGATGCTCTGACCCAGTCGTCTAGTCATCACAATGTGGCCCTTGTCAAAGTCGCTCAAATCCTCATGCCACCCATTTCTCCTGCTTCTAACACATCAACTCTGAGGACAAAATGTTCTCTTGCTGCCTAATATATCCCACCCACTGACAGGAGCCATGATAACCAGATAATCAGTGTTATTCACTTCACCAATCAGTGCTCAGAATGTTATGGCTGATTGATATATAATTGATATATTGATTGATAGTATATATAATTTAATATTTTCAATTGCAATTATTTTATTTTTCAAGCACCCAAATTCAAAACTGGGTTCACAGCTCACTGTTTTAAAATAACAGTTAGTAAAAAAAAAAAAAAAAAAGAAGAAGAAGAAAAGTAAATTATTTCAACAAAATATTACAGGTCAGCAAAACTTTTAAACTTATTTCAAAACTTGTAGCTAGAGAAATACCGATAGCTTCATGTTTTGAGGTGGAGGCCCGCTGAACAACTGGAAGTATTTGACGAGTTGGGAGTGAAAACGGGTTTCCCTTTGTGTCCTGTCTTTATGCTGTGCTAAGCTAACCAGCTGGTGGTTGTAGCATATGAACTGACACATAATGAGAGTGGTATCAATCTTCTTAACTAACTCTCAGCAAGAATGTGCACATTTCCCAAAATGTCTAACTATTCCTTTCATTTCAGCTGTGAAGCTGTTGTTACATGAAATTAATATTTTTGAGTTCTCTGGTGTCCCGTACATTGTCAGTGTGTGTAGTGATGCTGTAATGAGGCTTTAAACAGATGTGTGAAAGATCAACAGGATGTTAAATCAAACATTTTGATGATCCACTGTCCATACCCTGCCTTCATCTCTCTCTCTCTCTCTCTCTCTCTCTCTCTCTCTCTCTCTCTCTCTGTCTGTCTTTGCAGAGAGTTTGCTGCATCGCAACACTCTGCCGTTGCCATGGCAACTATGGAGAACAAAAAGACAAGCTGTTTTACATCTACTGACGTTACCTCAAATTCAGACAGATGTGATGATGTCGTTCCTGTTGCGATGTTAGCTTGTTAGTGCCCACTAATGAATATCTGACAGACAGACAAATGGGAAGAGGAGAACTCATCAGTCTCTCTCACCTATGTTCAGTGATGTCGCACGCCCACTGTTTTCCTCTAATTTTCTATAATTTTGTCTATCCTCAGGCCTTGCCAACGTCACCACGGCAACCAGGCGACCACACTGACGCTGGCCCCGAGTCTGATTCCAAAACTAACAGTGACTCTCGCATGAACACCCCTTATCAGTAGTAATTACATCATCATCATCAACATAACATCATCCGCCAGCTGACTGCATGAGCTGTGTTTACTCACATTCCTCTCAGTCGAATCAACACCTGGTTGTTGTGGTTCTGCTCCAGAGAGTCCTCAAAGTCCTGCACCTCCTCGTTCTGATGCACCTTTGTCTGCTGCACCTCCTCAGTCGTCTGCTGTTCCTCTTCACCCTGCTGCTCCTGTTTAGTCTCCTGCTTCACCTCCTGCTCTTCCTCAATCTGTGACATCTCCTCAGTCTGCACCTTTTCCTGCTGCAGCTCCTCCTCCTCCTCCTCCTCCTCAGACTGCTGCAGCTCCTCAATCTGCTGAACCTCTTTCTGCTCCTGTTGCACCTCTTCCCCACATTGCACCTCCTCTTGTTCTTCTTCCTGTTGTTGCAGCTCCTTCTGCTCCTCTTCCAACTGTAACATCTCCTCCTGCTGCACCCCCTCAAACTCCACCTCCTCCTGCTCTCCTTCCTGTTGCTGCACCAACTCTTCCTCTGGCTCTCCCTGCTGTTGCTGCATCTCGTCCTGCTCCTGCTCCTCTGGCTCCAGCACCTCCTCGTGCAGCTGCGGCTGCTCCACCTCCTTGTTCATCTCTGCGCAGCGGAGGAGAAAAAGGAGGTGGGTTTCTTTTTAAGGGTCGTATAAGTATTCAGAGAGCAGAGTTTGGTCTCTGTGAATCGTTCGGACTGTCTCTGTCATGAAAACATTGACACCGATCGCAACCAAGAGTGCTTAGGTTCGATGGAACTTCATCCAACTTCCTGTGATGTCACCCAACAATCCAGAATAATTATCTCTGGTCTGATCCAATCAGAGAAGCAGAGGGGTTAAAGTTCACAAGACAAGACAAAGTAGTTTTTGTCCAAAAGTTGAAAAGCAGGAGCAGACTAATGGCGTCTTTCACTAGATCAAACACCAGCAAGTAAACAAGCTGATCAGCTGATGACTTCCTTCAGCAGTTCACAGCTAACAGTTGAGCTCTGTGCTCCGCCACTGCGGCTGCAAAATGATCCTGCTGAATGTCCCAGAGCATCGCCTTAGCAACGCAAGGAGGAAGTCGACCAGCAATAAAGACAGGATGGAGAGAGAGAGAGAGAGAGAGAGAGAGAGAGAGAGAGAGTGAGAGAAACAGCGAGAGAAGAGCGATGGAGGAGAACAAAGGAGAAGCAGAGAACATCCCAGAGTGTTTCCGTGGTAACTCAATAACGGTTGCTAAGAGTGATGGAATCCTGCAGCCAACAGACCTCCCTCCTCATCCTCATCCTCCTCTTCCTAAATTTAAACATGCATAACTTTACGCTCCGTTCAGACACAAACAGCAAAATCTCAGTCTGTCCTTCCCTTGCTCAACCGCTGCATCTGAGAGAGAGAGAGAGAGTGTAGAGTGCTGAGCTTTGTGTTTACTCTGCATGAGCAGAGGGAGAGAGAGAGAAAGAGAGCCTGTGTGTGTGTGTGTGTGTGTGTGTGTGTGTGTGTGTGTGTGTGTGTGTGTGTGTGTGTGTGTGTGTGTGTGTGTGTGTGTGTGTGTGTGTGTGTGTGTTTGGTTTTTAGACAATGATGGTGTAATGTTCCTGAAAATGAGAGAAACAAAACCTCTCCAGTGAAGTGGTACAACCCGACATCCAGCATTCAGTCCTGCTGGCTTCCCCTGGAGGGGGCATTACACTCGCATTTGACACCATTGACCATGATATTCTTTTACAGAGACTTGAGCATCAAATTGGCATTAAAGGAACCGCACTAAGCTGGTTTAAGTCATATTTATCAGATTGTTCGCAGTTTGTACATGTTAACGATGAATCTTCAATAAATACTACAGTTAGTCATGGAGTTCCACAAGGTTCTGTACTTGGACCAATACTATTTACTTTATATATGCTCCCTTTAGGCAAAATTATTAGGAGTCACTCCATTAACTTTCACTGTTATGCAGATGATACGCAGTTATATCTATCAATCAAGCCCGATGAAATTAATCAATTATCTAAATTCCAAACATGTCTTAAGGACATAAAATCCTCGATGAGCTGCAATTTTCTGATGTTAAACTCAGAAAAAAACAAAATTCTTGTACTTGGCCCCAAAAATCTTAGAGACTCGCTGTCTAAATATATAGTTACTCTAGATGGCATTACCTTGGCCTCTAGCACCACTGTCAGGAATCTTGGCGTTATCTTTGATCAGGATTTGTCATTTAATTCCCACATGAAGCAGACCTCTAGGACTGCCTTCTTTCATTAACGTAATATTACAAAAATTAGACAGACATCCTATCACAGACAGATGCAGAAAAACTAATCCATGCATTTGTTACTTCAAGGCTGGATTACTTCAACTCTTTATTATCAGGTTGCCCCAATAAGTCCATTAAAATCGTTCAATTAATTCAGAACGCTGCAGCACGAGTACTGACAGGAACTAGAAAAAGAGATCACATCTCTCCTGTACTAGCTTCTCTGCACTGGCTCCCTGTAAAATTTACAATAGAATTTAAAATTCTCCTCCTCACCTATAAAGCTCTTTATGGTCAGGCCCCTTCATATCTCAAAGAGCTCATAGTACCCTATTACCCGTCTAGAACACTATGTTCTCTGAATGCTGGGCTACTTGTGGTTCCTATAGTCTCTAAAAGTAGAACAGGAGCCAGAGCCTTCAGTTACCAAGCTCCTCTCCTGTGGAACCAGCTTCCAGTTGTGGTTCGGGAGGCAGACACCCTCTCCACATTCAAGAGTAGGCTTAAGACATTCCTCTTTGATAAAGCTTATAGTTAGGGCTGGATCAGGTGAGTCCTGAACCATCCCTTAGTTATGCTGCTATAGGCCTAGACTATCGGGGGATTTCCCATGGTGCACTGAGCTCCTCTCTTCCTCTCTCTTTCTGCACTCATTCATGTCCCATTAATGCATGTTACTAACTTCACTTCTTCCCCGGAGTTCTTGTGCTTTCTCGTCTTGCAGGTTCTTATCGATCCTGGTGGAGCCTAGATTGCCATTACCAATACTGTTGTTGATGTGCACCTGTCTGTCTGTCTGTCTGTCTGTCTCTCTCTCTCTCTCTCTGTCTCTCTCTCTCTCTTTCTCTCTCTTTCTCTCTCTCTCACCCCAACTGGTCGAGACAGACGACCACCCACCTGGAGCCGAAGGATCTGTCCTAGGTTTCTGCCTTTTAACAGGCAGTTTTTCCTTGCCCTTGTCGCCAAGTGCTTATAGTGCTTATTATGCTTACACATTATTTACAGAGACCCAACAGTACCATCATGAGGTGGTACTGTTGGGTCTCTGTAAATAATGTTATAAAGAGTTCGGTCTAGACCTGCTCTATTTGAAAAGTGTCCTGAGATAACTTCTGTTATGAATTGGCGCTATACAAATAAAATTGAATTGAATTGAATTGAATTATACTAGAATTAGCATAATAATAATAGCATATTGTGTATTGCAACTCTGTGAATGTGACAATAATAAAGCTTTGAAGTTTTTACCAAGTCTTGGGGTTTTTCAGAGCACAGTGACTGGTGGGTCCACAGACACGCCTCCTGATGCTGCACCTGTTCCTGATTGGATGCTGCAGCCGACTCACTGCTTTGCCTTGCTGTAGAGAGTCCCCTGGTGGAGGAAGAGGAAGGAAATTTGTTTTTACCACTGCAAGAATTTCAGCTGTTGAACTTATGGTACTCTTTCACAAAGTTTCACAGATTTGTGACTTAATTTTCGAAACTGAAACTCTTTGATGATACTACTGTACCGTAAGGTTGGAGGAGAATGCAAAAAAGGCGATGGACAGCCCAAGTGACTGATGATGGAGTAAACCAGAATTAAAATCAATAAAATGTATTTATTGTATTTTTTGGTTGAAATGGAAGTTCACTATCATCATAATCAATATATTGACATATATGATTCTAGTCTATAATTTCCAGTGAGAAACATGCTGTATTCACTATTCACTTCTGACTGTTTTTATAGAGGACTGAGCTTCATCACATGGTGCAACGACAATCACATTCAAGTTCAATATCAGCAAAACGAAAGAGCTTGTGGTGGACAACCAGAGAAATAGGAAGCACCCTGTCCCAGTTATCATCCAGGGAGAGGAAGTGGAGAGAGTGGAGTCAAGTTTTTATTGATTTGGACCACAAAACTGAAGGCAGAAGAAGACTGTTCTTCTTGAAGTGACTCCTTCAGTTTGTCCAACAGCCTCCTGGAGATCTACCGGTCTGTAGTTGCCAGCACTCTGTTCTTTGCTGTGGTGTGCTCGGGTGAGGCCAGCAGACTTAACAAGCTGGTAAGGAAGGCCAGCTCTGTGGTCAGGGTAGAACTGGACACTCCATTGCTCTTCCTGTTGATTCTTCTATTATTGGGAGTTGTTCCTCATCCCAGTCAAGGGCCTAAGGATATAGGGTGTTGTTTGCTGTACATACTGTGAAGCCCCTTGAGGTACATTTTTTATTTTGGAGGTAAGGCTATATAAACCAAATTGATTTGACCCCTATTGTTGTTCTTGTTCTGTTGTATGTCTATTGGATGAGATTGAAAGCCCGTACGGTGCTACTTGTTGTTTACTCATTCTGTCGTCACAGTTCATTCTTAAATTATGACTAAAACTCTAGTTTGAGTTCACAGTGACCTTTGACCTTTGAGTCAAAACTGTCACCAATTCAGTGTCCGACCAACTGTGAGTCCAACAGTCCAACTGTGAGACCAACAGAGGTAGAGCAGGTCGTCCACTAATTGGAAGGGTAGTGGTTCGATTCCCGGCTCCTCTCACTACATGTTAAAGTGTCCTCTAGCAAGACACACTTTGAGTGTGTATGAATGATTAGTTTCCATTCTGGAGTGCAGTTGGCACCTTGCACATTCATACACTGCCATCAGAGTATGAATGTGTGTGAATGGGGTGAGTGTGGCATGTAGTGTACAGTGCATTGAGTGGTCGAAATACTAGAAAGGCTCTATATAGGTAGAGTCCATTTGCTTTGACTTTTTAAATATAAAATGTCATCACTTGATCGTTGTATCCCATTAAACATCTGTGAAACATTTTGTCATAATTGCTGCATAAATTCTTGAGTTATGACCAAAAACTTTGACCACCAGATTCTAATCCAATAAGTCCAAGTGGACGTTTGTGCAAAGTTTGAAGAAAATCCCTCAAAGCATTCCTGAGCTATCGCATTCACAGGAATGGAATGAACTGATGGACTGACAAACCTGATACACAATACAATGGCAACGGCTGTGGCTGGCATGGAGGCATATAAAGTAGATCAGTGGATAAAGTGCAGTGCCACTGGATAATGGTGTATCATTTTCTCTCTGACCACAGCCGTCCTTTTGTTTTTCCTCCACCTGCTCCTCAGAGGAATTTTCCACACAAAACTGACCCTCGCACATTGCATGAGACGTCAGGCCTAAAAATAGACAAACCTGAAATTAAAAGGATCCACAGCAGCAATTCTAACAGTCTGAAAGCAGACAACTTTGTCCTTTAATGAGGTGTTAGAATAACTTTTCAGTTTTACCTTCACTGATTTTCAGAGTTAGCAAAGGTAAACACATTCTTTACTCCAGTAGAAGCACTGATTCAACTTCTTTACCTAAATAAAAGTGAAAAAGTACAGGTTCTGAAATGTCCAAAGTATAAACTAAAGAGCACTTTAAGGACATTTCAACCTGCTGTTTCTGTGCAAAGCTAACTGAAACTTCAAACATGGTCGAGTCTCCCCTCTTGATTGTTTGGTCTGTCACATATCATTGGTCGTGATATGCATTAGGTTTGATGCTGGGAAGGCGTGCAATGATGCAAATTAGTAATGGTAATTGCCCCCAAATGGATTAAACCTTAAGTGGTAAGTCTGTTTTGAAAATGTAAAGAGTATAAAGTACAGATCTTTTTTTTAATGAGGGGGCTTGTAAAAAGTAAAAAGTTCTTAAAATACTAAATTAAATACTAAAGTAATGTACAGATACCTGAAAAATGAATTAAATGATATTGATTATTTTTTTGTTATATTCACTGAAATTTTAACTATATCCTGACAGTAGTAAATGAGACAGATAATCTGTGAAAAAATCAGGTTCCTCTGGCTCCTCCTAGTGCTCCTAATGGTATTTGCAAGAATCCAATGGGCCTGAAAAAAAACATATTTGTATGGAAGCCCATTTCCGCCAATGTGATGGGGAAAAAAAGGATTCTTTAAGTCATTATGAGAAACTTTCTCAAAATAATGAGATACTTACTCATTATTTTGACTTGAGCCTAGAATTAGGTTGGAAAATGCTAACATTATATATACTGTCAATGGTACAAACACACAACTTTAAACTTTATTCACTGATTTGGTGAAAGTGGGTGATATTTCATGGAGAAATTATTATCTGGTTTTCCCTCTGATGTCCTCTGGCTGCTCTCTGCCTCATCTCTCTGTGATTTGTTTTACTTGTGGACAGATAACATTAGCTTTATTGTTGCTAAAGTATGCAGCTAGCTAGTTAACTTTAGCTGGGTACTGGGGATAGCTGAGCTCAGTGTGCATGTCTCTCCCGTCCCCCCTGCTTGAACCCCCAGAGTCTCCTTCATCCCCAGATCCGCTATAAACTACCTCGGTACTGTACTCCCTGTTGTTAAACTGCTTCAATCGGTCCGGAGTCTGTTTGGTCCCGGTGTGACAATTTAACTGGTGGTTGGATTACCTGGTGATACTGATGCAGATGTGCGTAGGCGTGGCTTTTGAGGACACCTTATTGCTTAACCGGGAAATTAAGATTCTGACTACTTCAACACTCTTTCCAACCAACTTAAACACCCCAAAAATACCACCCCAACCCCCATGCACGCACCTGTACGTAGTTAACTGAACTTATACCACTCTTTTTTTTTTTTATTCTGGTTGAAAGATTTTGCTGACATGTATAGAATATAAATAAAAGATAAAAGTCCGTAAACTTTATTATGAAACATGATCAGTGGTAAACAGACGTTGCATCACAAGTTGATCTGGCCATATAATACTTTGCCACAACTCTACTTCAAGATGGTATTAAACATATACTGACTGTTTCTATATATAATACCACAATTCTCTCACATCTTATAATCTCTGTCCAATTTATTCAAAATCCCACAAAGTTGTGACATGTGAATCGGATTTGTAGAGTGTAGTCCAATTTCTGTTCCTATTGCAAAAGGAGATTTGACAGTTGCCTAATTTGGATGAAAGAATGTGCTGTCATTTATATAATATTGTGATTGGTGAGATAAATGTGTAGATGCAACATGATCGATGGTAAAATGTTGTAGGCTATTACCAGTTGATCTGGGCGTATCACGCTTTTCCACAGCTGACTCCACACATATACTGCAGACTGTATGTTTGTGTATGTCTATAAGGTAACAATAATATAATAATAAGATAACCTTGTTTGACTTGTGAAATGGGTGACTTAAAGAAAATTTTGGTTTTGTCTATACTATACTAGGTACTTGTACTATATTAATTGGGTTAAATAGAATTGCATTACCAAAAAGAGACTAAAATACAATTTTCATTGACTAAAACTAGACTAAAATGTCATCAGTTTATGTCGACTAAAACTAGACTAAAATAGTCATGGATAATTCTGACTAAAATAAGACTAAAATGCTCAGACTTTTAGTCGACTGAAACTTGACTAGACTAAAAAGAGTATAAACGTGACTAAAACTAATAAAAACTAAAATGACAGTTTGACACAAAGACTAGACTAAAACTAAAATTAAAACAGACCGCCAAAAACAACACAAGTTGTAACCAATGACTTGTCTGTATGTCCAGCTCTTTGAGCAAATACTTAGACTTTCCAACTATTAATATGTATGTCCGCACTTACAGATTTGTCCACACATTTACAGATTTGTCCACACGTGAACAAATATCATTACACTTGCAAATCTGAATACAGATTTGTAAATTTTTTACACATTTACAAATCTGATTACACACACACACACACACACACACACACACACAGATTGAGATACAGTTACACAACTTTCCACACACAATTGTAATTAGTTTTGCTACAATAATAGCTCCATATCATGGCAGAACAAAATAGACTCGAAGAGACAAGGCCATGAGCCAGAAGAAACCATGAGAGGAGACCAGACAGGAGACCAGAAGATACCAGAAGAGAACAGAAGCAGCTGCTGCAGACTGTTGAGGGGTATTTTCAGCCCTTATGATAAGGGTCTGTGTTGGTGTGGGGGTGTTGCTGAAGTCGAGTTTAAAGGTTTTTCAGATCCTGAAACTGATTCTGCTTTTTACAACTTTGGATTGACTTCACAGCAGCAGTGCTCCTCTGTCCTCAGACCAAAACCTAATCCTGTGTTCGTTAGTGTGTGTCACAGTCCAATTGTGTCCACGTTGTCCAACAGAGGTACTCTTGTGGTTGTAAACAAACCCTCATGGCAACAGTGGACTGTCTGATTGGTCAGCTGGCTAATTGACTGTTAATTGCTTCTTCATAATCAGAACCAACACTGAAGTGACAATTAAAGACAACTGCGTGGGCGGCTGGAGGAGTGTGTGAGTGTATATGTGTGTGTGCGTTCAGTAATATATTCAGGTCTTTGTTTGTCAAAAGGCTTTTGAGGCAACAAGTAGAACAACATCGACAGAGCTGAGGGACATGCTATTTATTTTTAGACCTTTATCTGACAAACACACTATTCATTTTATTTACTACGTCTTAAAGGTTCCCACCCAGAAATATTTTTGGACAAAATGAATGTGCTTTGAATAATCATTTTATTTGTGTTTTTCCCTACAAAAAGTTCAATTAGTTAGTTGAAAATTATCCTAAAATTATATCTACTACTTGCAAATGAAGCCAGCATGGAAGTAACAAAAAATGCATTTCCTCTAATGGCCACTTGAGGCTGGCTACAGCAGTGAGTCAATCTCCATAACGCCTCATTTTAAAATGTCCAACTTTACAGCAGAAATAAACATGTTTACAGCTTGGTACAAAAAACAGGTCTCTAAGCTAATTTCCCCGTTCATGACAACTGTACAGGATGAACATCATTAATATAACACATCTGTTTAAATTATATTAAGGCTTGAAGTTATGTATAATTAAGGGCATGGCTGATTTGGGTGAGGTGGGTGATGTTTTCAGTTTTAAAGTGACTACAACTGCTGTTTTTTTCAACTACATTGATGACTTAAGGATTTATTTTGACCAAACAAGAGATGGTGGTTGTTGAACACTGGAAAGATGAAGAACGACTGTTTGTTGATTAGTTACTTTATGTCTGTCCATTTTGAATTAAGTTACGATGATCTGTGAGGTAAAATTACAACCTTTGTCTATGGAGTCTGGTGGCGAGCGATATTACATACAGGCGCAATAATGTTAGCTTACGTTGCAGCCATTGCAGCCTTTTTCACAAATATTCTCAGAATCAAATCATCATATATCAGAATGATGAGGCAATGAATGAGCATGGAGTCCAACCTTAGTGCAACAGTGAGCCTTTGGATTTTGAAAGTTTATGTCAGAGACAACTAAGATAGAAAATGACTGACCTGTCACTGTCTGAACTGGTGACTCCTCATGTGGCGTCACCGTCACCACAGCCATCTTCCTGTCCAGAGCCGAGCAGAAGGAGCCCATTGTCAGCAGAAACCACAGGAGGAGGAGGAAAGGGACTCTGTATCTTTGTGTGTTTTTACATGTTGGAGAGACATCTTCCTCTTGCTTTCATCCACATGCTGCTCAGCACAGCTCTGAGAGAGAGTCTCTCTCTCTCTCTCTCTCTCTCTCTCTCTCTCTCTCTCTCTCTCTGAGGTGTTTAAAGGTCTCTTGCCCTTTAAACAGGAAGTTGTAGCCAGAAAAGGAGGGTCAGTCTGTGTGTGTGTGTGTGTGTGTGTGTGTGTGTGTGTGTGTGTGTGTGTGTGTGTGTGTGTGTGTCTCTTACACTGTAGCAGCAGGATTTATTATAGGATTTATCAGCGTGATAAGGAATACCTAAAATGCCAGAAACCATCTTTGGGAAAAATTTATTTGACGTGTACTTTGATTGTTGTCCCATGTCCCATCTGCTAACACGAGTTGTGTCTCATGTCGCGTAGTTGCATCCACATGCATGTTGCATTTTCTGAACATTGGAAAACATTTTAGACTAAATGTTTCAGGGAAATGTTAAATGTTGTAACTCATATCAAACCTGACTCAGGAATTATCAGCCTCATGTGACTGAATGGAAATTACGATAAGTGATGTAAAAAGTGTTGACAGACAGACTCTCTACTATCTCTGCGTCTGATCAGCTGCAGTGTCCAATCAATAACTGATATCCAATAAAGGTGCGCGTCAATCCTCAATCCTCGGTGCAGAAATGAGCGCTCTAGGATGGCCTGTAAGATGGCAGACCGGAACAACTTCTGGTTCAAGTGAGGATCGAGGAGCGAGGAAATGTTGAATAAGAGACTTGGGATGTACCCATGGAGGCAGCAGGCTTTATGACCTATACTGCACTCAGCCACCAGAGGGCGATTGAGATGTTTTGGCTTTGAGATGTCAGAGCTGTCATTGGTTTGTACACACAAGTAGTGACAGAAATACTGTAGCTGTGTACCAAATAAAAAAGAGCTCAAAATGGGAAGAAGTCCAATGTCTGATCAGATTCTCACCTCAACACAGCTGGCCAATCGTCATTTCATTATTGAATGAGACTATTTACGCCACTATGATTGAAAGATAGTGGTGGTCACAGTGAGCTGAGGGGTTGCAGTGGAGAGAGCTTTGCCAGAGGTGCGTTGCTGAACCCAACAGCCCAGGCTGACCACAGTTCTTGCTGTTTCCATATGGTATCTCTGTAGCTGCCGCAGCCCTGATGTGTAGTTACATTAATAAGGAAGCATTAGATAGGGAGCCATAATCCATTAACACAGAAGTATTAGGGAACTTGAGCTGCTGAAAAAGATTTTTAAGAAGCAAAAAAAAAATGTCTAAAATGCACATTGTGATGATTAAAAATACTTTATTACAATTATTCTAAATAAAACAAATGGCCTATACAATATCTAAAACCCTTCATATTAATAAGCAAATGAATTAGTCCAACCTAAAGTAATCAAAACTAAGGAGAGTGAGCTGAGGCCAGTTGTAGAGAGGCAGACTACACTGAGGAGTGCCCAGGGGTGCTACCTCTAATTCACCTTCAGTGAAACACAGCAAACCTCACAGCACAAAGGTGCAGTCTACAGATGTGTCCCAGTGCTCTCACTCACATGCATCAAGAGTGGGGATCTCACCACGAGTGCCTAGCCTCCCCACAATATGGTGCTCTGCTTTACTGAAAGAGAAATAACACTCATACAAAAACAATTACAAACAACCACCCAGCTGGTCGAAAATAAATTAGCAGAACAAACAAATATCAAGCATAACAGGCTAAACGAGCAAAGCAAACTAGCTTCTGAGCAAAACAGCAACAGTCAGGTGAACCACCTCTGGTATGGGGTGCTAACACAGGTGGGGAAGGCAACAAGGGGACTAGCAGAGCACATATACACATATAGACATTGACTAAGTGTTTGAAAAGTGTTGTTGGTATACTGTCGATATAACTATGAACAGACCCTTTTCTATTTTTGCTGGGGACCACAAAAAAATAGTTGAGACACAGGACTCATTCAGCGTGCGCAAACTAATTTTACATTAGCAGTCCACCAAAATCTGTTTCTGAACACATTTTTGAAATAAGCAATCCAGTTGCTGAAACTTCACTCAAATAAGAACTACAAGGCCTAATTTAAAAGTTTGTTCTGACTTTCGTGAGGCAATGGCACTACTGGGCTGCAGGTGTTTTGGTTCAATATATATTTGTCTGGTCCTTTTTGTCTTAATTGTGTCGCCAACAAGAAGAATATTCACCTTTCTTTGTCTGTGTAGAACTCTTTATAACATAATGAAATGTCTTCAGGAAGATCTAAACTCCTGACAATGTTCCATCCTAATTTGTTTCCTATTGTTCATATCGCAATACCATGATTTAACTAGGGTAAAACACCTAATTTCAGGAATTTGGGTTCATAATCCCATACATTTAGACATAGCTAAATAATTTGGGTATTAATTACGAACATTATGAGATAATATTTTTCACATCTTCTAAAGTCAGTGGTGATTTGACTGGAACATTGTCTACAGACTCTTAAAGCTTGTTTCTTCTTCTACAACGTCAAAAGGAATTTTTTTAAAAAGAGTAAATGTTAAATAAAAAGTAACCCAAATGTAGAACAGAGACTCAGTGATAAAATGACCAAAACAGAACTTAATTGCAAAAGCTGAGGATTGGTGCAGGGTAAACGGAGAATGGAGGGTGGCTGTGCTGAGTCAAGCCAAGCCGGGAATGAAGGTAGACGGGTAAGAGTTTGATACACCCAGCAGTGAACATTGGTAATGGTAAACGGTAAATGGACCTGTACTTGTATAGCTCCTTTCTAGTCTTCCGACCACTCAAAGTGCTTTTACACTACGTGCCACATTCACCCTTTCACACACATTCACTCAGTGATGGCAAAGAACAGAAACTAACATTCATACACACTCACACACCGATGCACGGCATCGGGAGCAATTTGGGGTTCAGTATCTTGCTCAAGGATACTTCGACATGTGGCACCAGGGGCCGGGGATCGAACCCACAACCTTCGGATTAAGGAACGACCCGCTACAGCCACAGCCGCCTCCACAGCCTGCAGATGGAGAGTTGAGCGGGCTGACAGGTGAGCAGAGGATGATCCTGAGGCACAGGAAAACAGTTTGTAAACCATATGAAACATAGGGCTACTAAACCCTTATGTTATCAAGAGGTGTAGTTGCAATGTTATTCCACAAGGGTGCGCAATCCACTAGAGCACAATACAACGTTCTATCAGGATTGGTAGAGAATGTTACAGTCCTGCTTACCATTATTGGCACCCCTTCATTTTTTGCATAACCTCTACAATATCTTCAGAAATAAATAGAAATGTACCAAATTAATATCAGGATCTTTTAATTGGGAGGTCCAAAGTAATTTAACAAAAAAAAATGTTTTTTTCAACTTACATATTGTAATTTAAAAGAAGAAACAGCATGTGCAGCAATAATGGCACCCCTCTTTAATATTTGGTTGCACACCCTTTGGCAGTGATGACAGCCTCCAAACGTTTCTTGTAGCCATCTATAAGCTTCTCAGCTGGTATTTTCTCCCACTCTTTCTCTGCAAATTGTTCAAGCTCTTGACCGTTTGCAGGTTTCTTTACCCCAATGGCATCGATTATTGTTGATGTTCTCTATGTGTGACGTGCTACGGTAAGCGTACTGACTCATTTCCGGTTTACTTCCTGCTCTGTGTACACTGTTTGGTGCTGTAGCTCTGTCAGTGAACGCTAACTCTAAATTTGTTTTACTCGTTACAGCGGTTATTTACCCGCTTAACATTTAAACGTAGACTAGTTCTACTTAAACACTCGGAGTTTCTCCTTCTTTTAGCGACTTTTTCACTACTTTCAAAGTTTTTTCATACACGTTAGTTTCATTAGCATTAGCAGTTAGCTATGGCTTCTCCCTCTCCCTCTCCTCTGTCCTGCTCAGTGTGTCAGATGTTCAGTTATTCCTCTGCCTCCTTTAATGATAATGGTACCTGTATTAAATGTAGTTTATTTACTGCGCTGGAGGCGAGGCTTAGTGAGTTAGAGGAACGGCACCGCACCACGGAGATATCTTTAGCCGCTATAGTTAGCCAGCCCCCAGTAGCCGGTGCGGTCCGACCGAAGGTAGCTTCTGTTAGCTCTGTAGATCCCCCGGTAGTTCCCGAGCAGCCGGGAAGACAGGGAGGCTGGGTGACTGAGCGAAGGAAGGCTAGAACGGCGAAGCCCACAGTTCACCACCAACCGCTTCACGTTTCTAATACATTTTCCCCACTCAGCGATACACCCGCTGAGGAACCAACTCTGGTTATTGGCAGCTCCATAGTCAGAAACATGAAGTTAGCGAAGCCAGCGGCCATAGTTAAATGTATCCCTGGGGCCAGAGCGGGCGACATTGAATCAAATTTAAAACTGCTGGCTAAAGGTAAACGTAAATACAGTAAGATTGTTATCCACGTCGGCGGTAACGACACCCGTTTACGCCAATCGGAGGTCACTAAGATTAATGTGGAGTCGGTGTGTAATTATGCTAAGACAATGTCGGACACCGTAGTTTTCTCTGGACCCCTCCCCAATGTGACCAGTGATGACATGTATAGCCGCATGTCGTCATTCCACCGCTGGCTGTCGAGGTGGTGTCCAGAAAACGATGTGGGCTTCATTGATAACTGGAAGCCTTTTTGGGGAAAACCTGGTCTGATTAGGAGAGACGGCATCCATCCCACTTTGGATGGAGCGGCTCTCTTATCTAGAAATATGGCGAAGTTTATTTCTAAAACCTGACAGTCCAGAGTTGGGACCAGGAAGCAGAGCTGCTGTCTTACACACTTCTCTGCTCTTTCTTTAGAACAGTCACCCACCCAAAACCCCATAGAGACTGTGTCTGTCCCCCGACCACCTAAACTATTTAAAGAAATAAAAACAAGAGGAGTTCAACATAAAAAACTAATAAAAATTAAAACCAACTCCTCAGTAGCACAAAATAAGAGAATGAAATGTGGGCTGTTAAATATCAGGTCTCTGTCCTCTAAAGCTGTTTTAGTGAATGAATTAATATCAGATTATGATATTGATATACTTTGTCTTACTGAGACCTGGTTGTCCCACGAGGAGTATGTTAGCCTAAATGAATCCACCCCCCCAGTCATATTAATACTCACATTCCTCGAGGCACAGGCCGAGGAGGTGGAGTGGCAGCTATATATGATTCGAGCGTTTTAATGGACCCTAAACCTAAACTAAATTATAATTCATTTGAAAGCCTTGTTCTTAGTCTTTCTCACCCAAACTGGAAAACACTGCAGCCAGTTCTATTTTTATAGTGTTCCGAGCTCCTGGACCATACTCTGATTTTATATCGGAATTTTCAGAGTTTCTATCAAGCTTAGTCCTTAAATCAGATAAAGTAATTATTGTAGGTGATTTTAATATTCATGTGGATGTTGACAATGACAGCCTTAGTAATGCATTTATATCATTAATAGACTCAATTGGCTTCTGTCAGAGTGTAAATAAACCAACTCATTGTTTTAATCACACTCTTGACCTTGTTTTATCATATGGCATTGATATTGAACATTTAATAGTCTTCCCACATAATCCTTTCCTATCTGACCATTATTTAATAACTTTTGAATTCATACTATTAGATTATAAGCCATTAGGCAAAACTTCCTACAGCAGATGTCTATCTGACAGTGCTGTAGCTAAATTTAAGGAGGAGATTCCTTCAGTGTTTAATTCAATGCCATGGCTGAATTTAACAGAGTCCTATAACGACTTTAGTCCCTCTGAAATTGATAATCTTGTCGATAGTGCTACAGGCTCACTACGATCAACATTAGACTCTATCGCTCCTATAAAAAGGAAATTATTAAAACAAAGGAGACTAGCACCTTGGTATAACCACCAAACCCGCCAGTTAAAACAAATAGCTAGGAAATCTGAAAGGAAATGGCGCTCTTCCAAATTATCAGAATATCGCTCACATTGGCAAGATAATCTTAAAATTTATAGAAAGGCCCTCCGTAATGCCAGAGGAGCCTATTACTCAGCACTAATAGAAGAAAATAAGAATAACCCTAGGTTCCTCTTCAGCACTGTAGCCAGGCTGACAGAGAGTCACAGCTCTATCGAGCCACATATCCCCATAAACTTAAGTAGCAATGACTTCATGAGCTTCTTCTATAATAAAATTATTACTATTAGAGAAAAAATTAATCACCAACTGCCATCAACAGTTATCAGTGGCTCTCCAAGTTCAGGGACTTCTGTCAATGTAAACTTAGATATATATTTAGACTGTTTTTCTGCTATCGATCTTCATCAGTTAACTTCAATCATTTCTTCATCAAAGCCATCAACCTGTCTATTAGACCCGATCCCAACTAGGCTGCTTAAAGAAGTTGTTCCCTTAATTGGCACTTCTTTACTGGATATGATTAATCTTTCTTTATTATCAGGATATGTACCACAGTCCTTTAAAGTAGCTGTAATTAAACCCCTTCTTAAAAAGCCCACTCTTGACCCAGGGGTTTTAGCCAACTATAGACCGATTTCTAACCTCCCCTTCCTCTCTAAGATTCTGGAGAAAGTAGTCGCCAAAGAGTTACCAAGCTCCTCTCCTGTGGAACCAGCTTCCAGTTGTGGTTCGGGAGGCAGACACCCTCACCACATTCAAGAGTAGGCTTAAGACATTCCTCTTTGATAAAGCTTATAGTTAGGGCTGGATCAGGTGAGTCCTGAACCATCCCTTAGTTATGCTGGTGCACTGAGCTCCTCTCTTTCTCTCTCTTTCTGCACTCATTCATGTTCCATTAATGCATGTTACTAACTTCACTTCTTCCCCGGAGTTCTTGTGCTTTCTCGTCTCGCAGGTTCTCATGGATCCTGGTGGAGCCTCCTGCCATGGTCCTGCTTGACTGCCATTGCCAATACTGTTGTTGCTGTGCATCTGTCTGTCTGTCTGTCTGTCTGTCTGTCTGTCTGTCTGTCTGTCTGTCTGTCTGTCTGTCTGTCTGTCTGTCTGTCTGTCTGTCTGTCTGTCTCTCTCTCTCTCTCTCTCTCTCTCTCTCTCTCTCTCTCTCTCTCTCTCTCCCCCCCAACTGGTCGAGACAGACGACCAACCACCTAGAGCCGGAGGATCTGTCCTAGGTTTCTGCCTAGATAAGATAACTTCTGTTATGAATTGGTGCTATACAAATTGAATTGAATTGAATTGAATTGGCAGATTTCAGCTCATACCAAAGATTTTCAATCAGATTGAGATCAGGACTAATTGCTGGCCATTTTAAAACAGTCCATTTTTTCCTTTTAAACCATTCCTGCGTGCTTTTGGATGTGTGCTTTGGGTCTTTGTCTTGCTGGAGGACCCATGATCTTCGACTCAAACCAAGTTTTCTTACACTGGGTAGGACATTTCGCTCTAAAATCTCTTGATAATTCTCTGATTTCATGATTCCTGTGATACGGTCAAGGCCTCCAGTACCAGATGCAGCAAAACAGCCCCACAGCGTTATGGATCCTCCACCATGCTTAACTGTTGGTAGGGTGTTCTTTTCCTTGTAGGCTTCATTGCGCCATCTGTAAACAAACTGTTGGTGTGCATTGCCAAAAAGCTCTATTTTTGTTTCATCTGTCCACAGAACATTTTCCCAGAAGGATTGTGGTTTGTCCAGGTACTCTTTGGCAAAGATTAGTCGTTCCTTTTTATGTCTTTTCCTCAGCAATGGTGTCTTCCTTGGCCTTCGCCCATGAGCCCTGTTTGTTTTAGTGTGCGGCGTATGGTACTTGTTGAAACCATGACCCCAGACTGTTCCAGGTTTGCCTTCAGGTCTTTGGATGTTTGACGTGGTGTTTTGTCCACCATTCGCACCAACCTTCGAAGACTTCTCTCATAAATTTTTCTCTTCCCCCCACGTCCAGAGAGGTTCTTGACAGTTCCATGCTTGGCAAACTTCTTAATAACATTACGCACTGTTGAAACAGGGATACCAAGGTCTTTGGAGATGGCCTTATACCCTTTGGAGGTCTTGTGTTTGCTAATTATCGCACTTCTGATGTCCTCAGACAGCTCCTTTGTCTTCACCATTGTGACAAAGGAACAGGGGATAACAGATGGCTTTTTAAAACACGGAAGTCATCATTCATTGGTTGATTCATGTCACATGGGCACAGACAATTTATCACAGGTGATTCTCATTAGTGATTTACCACAGGTGAGTCACAATGTGTTTCCATACTGATTTACAGCAAAGGGTGCCAATACCAGTGACACAGCAAGCTTTAAGTTTTTCAATTTTTTCCTCCCATTGTTTATTGTTTTAAATTGTTGTTTATCATTTGCTCTTTTGTATCAAACACGAGTTCTCTATGGAACAGAAATGTTTCACTTGATTCATTTTTTTCAGAAGATATTCCACATTATGTACTTAAACTTCATGGGTGCCAATAATGGTGAGCAGGACTGTATGTGCAGCCGTCGCGTCAGATTTTCAGAGATTGCTTCTTCCTGAAATGTCCCGAAAACGTGCTGTGAACTGTTAACAATTGCTGGTATGAAACGCAAAGTAAAAGTCTTCAAACTTTGATTATAGATTACAAGATTTGTTGGTGCTTAAAATACCAGTTGCTATTACATGTGGTAATTCATTCCATTATCAACAATACTTTCAAATATGTTCTGGTCATTGGTTATTGATGCACTAACTAAGAAAATAAGTTAATGAGGTCTGATGTTATTAATGGGAACAGAGTAACTTACTTGTGCAGGTCGGTTTTTTGAGCTACCAGAAAGAATCTTGAGGATCCAATGATGGCGAACCCAGCCCAGAGTGGCTATGGAGGGTCGGGGGTGAGGCTTGCCGCACAACCATCCACAGAGGACATCGAACTAGTTTGCCCATTCAGGAATGCGTACACACTATTAACTTTACCCACTAACTGCCACATGGTGCACGTGGTGGCCTCAGGGGTCAATTCTCAGACCCATTTTATTTTACGCTGCCCTTAGAGCACTCCACCCATCAATTTGGTTGTGTTTTTATCATTGTTATTCTGATAATAAAGAATTCTATTTATCTGTTTATCTATCTGTTTATCTGTTAGGCCTGGTGTCTGGCCAACATTAGTAACTGGATGTCAACAAGATCTGAAGACCCATCTATTTTTGTGTTTTTGTGCTCGACACATGAACACCATTTAACGATTGTGAAGCACTTTGTAACCTAGGTTTTTTTTTTCTGTTAAACTCAGCATGTTTAAACTGAAAATGCAAATCAGCGTGGCCTGGTTTGACTCATCACAGCCAAAAGTGCTAATGGAAAAGCCCTATCTGTGGCAACCCAGTGGGACACTATTGCACAGTTTTTAGTCTAGACTGGGGATATCAAACTGCCAGCCCGAGGGCCTTTTCTGGAACCTCCATCCTCCTACTTCCAGCCGACATGACGTTAAAAATATACTAATATTATTTTTTCAAGTTGTTAAATATCAATCATATACAATTAAAATACAATTCTATTTTTAAAAATGTATTTAATTTGATGCAAAATAATGACAAAGGTTCCCGCAAATCCATGCGAACGGTTACTAAGAAGAGAGCAGATTTCCAGGGCTTTATTTGTTGTGAGGCTGTGATAAACAAAGATTATATAAAACGATGATATAAAAATGGAAACCGCTTGCATTTTTTGTTAAGCATGATGTTAGTAATGGAAATATTTTTAGAATACACTGCACTGCACTTTCCTGTTGTAATTGAACATTGAAGTGGCCCTCTTTCAGATGACAAAGCCAGCAGTGGCCCCAAGCCAATTTGACTTTGAGACCCTGGTCTAGATCTAACACAAATCAGACAAAAATAAAGAACACTACGATACAAAAGGACATCACCTCTCCCCACCCCCATCAACAAACACAACAGACAGACCATCACTGCAGAACAGGTGAGGAAGGAGCTGGGCAGACTCCGCCCAGGCAAGGCAGCAGGTCCCGAGAGTGTCAGCCCGAGGGTCCTCAAAACATGCGGAACCCAGCTGAGTGGAGTCCTGCAGCACATCTTCAGCCGGAGTCTGGAGAGGGTCCCTGTGCTGCGGAAGACATCCTGCCTGGTACCAGTACCGAAGAAGGCACGTCCCAGCACCTCCAACGACTACAGACCGGTGGCGCTGACGTCTCACCTGATGAAGTCCTTGCAGAGGCTGGTCCTGTCACTTCTTCGGCCCCTGGTCAGCTCATCACTGGACCCTCTTCAGTTTGCCTACCAGCCGAGACTAGGAGTGGAGGATGCCATCATCTTCTTGCTCCACCGTGCCTGCATGCCAAAAGGACGTCAGGTGGATATCCAACACCACAACAGCTTCTTACCAGAGCGACACACAGGAAAGACGAAGACCAAGAAGAAATCTGTTCTGTAAGAAAGATTCTACACTGCATGCTCAGATCAGTCTGTACATGTATATGACAGCGGCTGTACTGTTTGATTGGTTATAATGACAATTCAAGGGAGTAATCACAGGAGACAACAAAACCTTCTTTTTTCTTACTGCCGCACAGTCCTTACTCTCACTGAGCAGTCTATCACAGTTTGCATAAGAGACAAAAATGTGCGCTTGTGATTTCACAGGTTAACTTAGACATAGACTACTCTACATACACAGTTTAGGACATTCAGATAGAAGACGTGTGAGGCCTCCAGTAATTAGACCGAGTAAATTACATCCACAAATCCGTTCGCACATCTACGTTAGCTACAAATGTGTATTTATGCTTGTTCAACACCAAAACAAACAAACAAAAGTAAACTATGAGGCTGCTGAAAAACACACACTCCACACCTGAAAACATGATGGAGCCGTGCTTGAGCTGGACCATGAATGCAATGCAGCCTAATACTACATTGGAGGTTAGTAAGTACATTTTTGGTTCCCTTTAAAAGCTGCTAATGCAACTATCACAGTATCATCAAAGCTACTACAAATAATACTATTGCTACTTACAAATATATTCAAATTACCATCTTAACCATTTGTGTCATGTTATAATGAGTTTGTCTGTGTTGGACTCTATATGACTAAAGAAAAGTTCTTTAGTAGGGTCTAACCCTAATATACCCTCAATATCCAATCCAATCTAATCCACTTTATTTATATAGCACGATTTTAACAAACGCAAGGTTTCCAAAGTGCTGCACAAAAAGATTCAATGTTCAATTCACTGTTATTTGTATAGCACCAATTCATAACAGCTTTTCAAATAGAGCAGGTCTAGACCGAACTCCTTATATAACATTATTTACAGAGACCCAACAGTACCACCATGACCAAGCGCTTGGCGACAAGGGCAAGGAAAAACTGCCTGTTAAAAAAGTTAAAGAGATTAACATAGTTAATAGATAACACAATAGAAGCACAATAGAAATATGAAATACACATTAGAAAAATAAAAGCAATAAAATAAATAAGTAAAATTTAAAAACATTTGAAAAGACACCTGCAGTTTGTCCTTCTTCCACTTGCGCTCAGCTCTGCGGCACTCACGTCTGACAGCATGAGTCGTGTCATTTAGCCAGGGCTCAGATTTAGTTTTAGGCTGCCTGGATTTTAATGGAGCTACAGTGTCTAAAACAGTGTGGCAGGTGGAGTGAAACCATGAGCTAAGCTCCTCTGTACTGCATACAGACTCAGGAAAGATAGAGTTCTGACTGAAAGCAACCGAGAACTGAACAGCAGTGGAAGGGTTAATAATGCGACAGCGCCGAGCAGCAGCGCGAGGTTTAACTGTATGACAGGCAAGAGCAGCCTCAAATATTACAGGCATATGGTCAGAAAACACTGCGTCACATATCTCTAGGTTAAAAATGGGCAAACCATATGATAAGACAAGATCAAGTGTGTGTCTGTGTTCTTGTGTGGGTCCAGACACAGATTGCACAAGATTAAAAGAATCAATGAGGTTTACAAAACCCTTTGCCATTGGCTTATCAGGACAACACACATGAACATTAAAATCCCCAACAATAAGAACACGGTCATATTTAGGCATGATTTCAGCCAGGAAATCAGAGAAGTCATTTAAAAAGTCCTTATTGTACCTGGGAGGCCGATAGACCACAGCACACAACACTGTGTGAGAGTGACCAAGCTCAAATAAGC